GTCAGGGGGAAATTCTTTACAGAGAGAGTGGTGAGGTACTGGAACAGCTGCCCAGAGAGGTTGTGGATGCGTCGTCCCTGGAGGTGTTCAAGGCCAGATTGGATGGGGCCCTGGGCAGTCTGGTCTAGCATTAGGTGGGATGGTTGGTGGCCCTGCGTGTGGCAGGGGGATTGGAGATTCATGATCCTTGAGGTCCCTTCCAACCCTGGCAATTCTGTGATTCTGTGATTCTGTGCTGGGGAGTGCAGCCACACACTGCCAGGCAGCGAGCAAGTGAGTGATCCTGGGACTTTGTCCCATGGATTATCTTCCCCTCTGATGGGGATTTACCTGGCTGCCCTCCTGGGCAACGGCCTCATCAGCACAGCCGTAGCCTGCCACCACCGCCTGCACACCCCCATGTACTTCTTCCTCCTCAACCTCGCCCTCCTCGACCTGGGCTGCATCTCCACCACTCTCCCCAAAGCCATGGCCAATGCCCTCTGGGACACCAGGCACATCTCCTACTCAGGATGCATTGCCCAGACCCTTCTGTTTGTCTTTCTCATCTTAGCAGAGTATTGTATTCTCACTATCATGTCCTATGACCGCTACGTTGCCATCTGCAAGCCGCTGCACTACGGGACCTTGATGGACAGCAGAGCTTGTGCCACCATGGCAGCAGCTACCTGGGGCACTGGGGCTCTCTTTGCTGTGCTGCACACTGCCAACACTTTTTCTCAGCCACTGTGCCAAGGCAATGCTGTGGATCAGTTCTTCTGTGAAGTCTCCCATATCCTCAAGCTCTCCTGCTCAGAATCAGACTACCTCAGGGAAACTGTATTTACTGTTATACTGTATATATTGTAAACTGTATTTATTGTTGTATTTAGTGTTCTTGCCGTATTTGTCTGTTTTGTGTTTATTGTTTTGTCCTATGTGCAGGTCTTCAGAGCTGTGCTGAGGATGCCCTCTGAGCAGGGACGGCACAAAGCCTTCTCCACGTGCCTCCCTTACCTGGCCGTTGTCTCCCTCTTTCTCAGCACTGTGATGCTTGC